CTGAGAGCAGAGATGATATATCCTTGGGCAGGAGAACAGTGCCCATTCAGAAAAACCCAGCCACTTTATGTTTAGTGGTTTTTTGTTTTTTGTTTTTTTAAGGTAACGTGGGTTTAAAACACTGTCTATGATTCAGGGATATATGGTCACACCTCTGCAGATGTGTGTTACGACAGCACACCCACCACCAACACACCCATAATCCACCATAAATCACTGGGCCCCCTCCCCAACTTGTATCCTACTCCAGCTCTCTCTGGTAGCCTCAATTTTACAGTCAGACTTCTCAGATTTGTTTTAAACCTGGTCACTTTTAAGAGGAATGTCAATAGGCAATGGAATAGCTAAAATGAAATTTCCCACAAGGAAATAGACTATGCCTGAATATTTGAGTAGAATCTAGTATATCACAAAATGTTTCCACACAGGAAACTCATAAAGAGGACTTAAAAAAAAAATAATGCCACAGAATCAACGAAAGGCACTCCATAAATCATAGAGCCATGAAGTGATTCTGGATCCCAAGTGTCTGATTGGAATTTTACTAAGGGTTTTATTTCCTAGAAAAAGAACAGAAGGCATTTTCAGTTATCTTCTTCCAAGTTACTTCACTTGCACTTATTAAACTGTTTTCAGGAGCAGTAAACAAATCATCACCGGATAAATATGCTAAATGTATACCTTCTATAGGAACAAAAATCTATACTAGAAAATATTGGCTATATGGTTGTGTGGTCTTGAAAAAACAGGTCGTCTGCCCTGTATCCTAACCAAAGAGATCTCAGTGTACTCCTACATTAGTTCCCTATTGCTGCTGCAACAATTACCATAAACTGTGGCAAAAAAAAAAAAAAAAAACAAACACAAGTTGCTATTTTATAGTCCTAGAAGTCAGAAGCCCAAATGGGTCTCACTGCACTAAAATCAAGTGTCAGCAGGACTGTGTTCTTTCTGAAGTCTCTAGGGAAGAATCATTTTATTGTTTTTACCAGCTTGTAGAAGTTAACCACATTCTCTCATGGGTCCCTCGTCCATCTTCAAAGGCAGCAACATGGGGTTAGCCCTTCTCACGTGGCTTCATTCTGACCTTCTGTTCTGCCTCCCTCTTTTACTTATGAAGGCCCTTCTGATTACAGAGGACCTACCTAGATAACCTAGGATCTCAAGGTCAGCTAATTAGCAACCTTAATTCCCTCAGAAATCTCAATTCCCCTTTACTATGAAACAACTTATTCAGAGTATGGACCCCTTTGGAGGAGGGGAAAGTTACTCTGTCTGCTACAATTTGTAATCATCTTAGTATACATGTACCATTTTATTTTTTCATGCAGGCACACAGACATATCTAAACGCACACATGAAAAATTCTTTGGATTTCCTTGCTCTAATTTATGAATTCTAGACTAGCTTTGATGAGTAATTCCACAAATGTCTCCTATAACATTTGTGGTGTTAAGATTATATAAAACAAAAACAAAAATTCTGTTCTTGAAAGAAATTCCAGATGTTTCCATGAATGCCACCAGAAAATGTCTTTGATTTTAAAACACAATAATAACAGCAAAAAAGCCACACCAGAAGAGCTCTTCTAGGATCAGAAATTTTTTTAAAAATTTTTTAAAGATTTATTTCATTTATTGATACATACAAGAGCTGGGGTGTAGGCCAGAAGTGATGGGGGTGAGAGGGTTCATCAGAGACAAAGTGGGGAACAGAACAGGCAGATTGACTGAAGTACACTGCTGAGGGGAGCATTTGATATCTACTATAATCACATTTTAGGGCTTATTCTAGAAAAGGTCCTGAGACTCTTGTCCATAGTTACAATTCATTCTGTTGAAGGCAGACTGACCTACGGCTCACTTTTATTAAGTTAATTTTACTTTATCTCAAAGAGTGAGGTTTTCCAGAAACTCTCGAGGCCCCCAGTTCAGTGAGTCTGAACTCTGTCTCAACTGCTGCCTTCCAATAAAAATAAATCATGGCATTTCAATTCCAACTTCAGTTGTGGGAAATTGCCTTATCTTTACAATTCATTGTTTGTGAAGTGAAGAGACTCACACGAAATTATTAAAATACCTGAATTTAATCAACATAATTCTCCAGTATTTCTGATAGTCATTTTCTTTAAATAATGATCAGAGAAACAATTTCTGAACCCTTAAAATAGCAATTAAATAGTAATAATTTACTCTAAATACCTATTTTTTGCCCTCCAAATTAGCTGTGTTCCTTGCAATCCTTGGAAATGTAAATTGGTATATCCCCCCCAAAACAAGACACCCTGTTCTGTGGTCCCCTACCTTTGAAATAGTGTGGATACCATGCCGCCTTTCAGAGGGCCACAATGCACATTAATAGTTTAAAACTGTTAACAAACTCCCCCCAAAAGCACTAAAACCTCTAACTGTTCAACTTTACTTTTCAGAAAGTTTTCCTAACACCCCAATAAACATCCTGGGGTGATGAAGGATTGCAGAAGAGAATATGAATGTAGAAGATATCTCCACAGAGTATTCTCTTCCCAGGTAGTTTAGCCCATGAGAGTCTGTGGGCTGTATTTACAAATATCAAATGTAGAATCAAAGTCAAGTTGTAAATATGAGTAAGATTCACTTGAAACAACACAAATATAAGAATGTACTGTAGCATTTAATTGTGTTTATATGGGTGGGTCACTTAAAAGAAATAATGTTTAACTCAATATGACTTTAAATGAGTCAATTCTAAACAAACCATACCACATTTATAAATAATCAAAATGCCTCTCACTCAAAACACCAATGCTCACAGAGTCTGGGTTTTTCCATCCACTAAATATAAATAACCATCAGATTCAAAAAAGTCACTTCAAAGGCTTTCTTCTTACTCCACTAAGTTAATAAAAAAAAAAAATTCAATTGAAATAAACTGAGGTGAGTTCCGAAGGGATGGAAATTTCTTTTAAATGGCTTTCACCCTGTTTTTCAATAAAATTCTCCAAGTATTTCCACCTATATCTAAAGTCTCAATTTTAAGGGCCTCCCTGGTGGCGCAAGGGGTTAAACACCGCACTATGAAGCAATCCGCAGCCTGTGCAGAACAAGTTCAATCCCCAGCCAGCCAGGCAGCTACCCACATGGCGCAGCAGACCTCTTATGACTCGCCCGCTGCTCCCCTCAGCAGTGTATTTAAGTAGATCTGCCTGTTCTGTTCCCCGCTGTGTCTCTGGTGAATCCTCTCACCCCCCCACACCTCTGGTCTGTACCCTAGCTCTTGTATGCATAAATAAATAAATATTTTTAAAAAAATAAAGTCTCAATTTTAAAATTTAAAATATCAATTACTCGTATACTGTTGACTTCTCTTTGTTAAAAAAAAAATCTATGAGCTCTACATTTCATGTGTAATGCCATTAAGTAAAAGCAACATACAAGGCTAATCAGATTGAAAAATGATGTCTCTGGTCAATGAGGGTCCTGCTGCTGTGAGGTAGGAAGATACAGAGGAAAGACCACCGGCTCTGGGCCCAGGGTGGGCTCTAAGCTGTGCCCAAAGGCTGCATCCCTGGGGTGACTTAGCTTCTCGGGGGGCACATTTCTTCATTTATAAATGGGAGAGGGTAAAAAACAGCTACCTCGTGGGTTGTTGTGAGAATTCACTGAGCAGAAACATGCCAAACACTATCTGGTAGTGTTTGTTGTCCCAATTTTTCATAAATAAAAAGGAAAATGAATTTCTCCCACACTCATGATTTTCTTTTTTTTTTTTTTTTTGCCCAAAGCTGGCGACAGGATACTTACTCCTCCACCAACTACCCATTTCCATTCTCATCAGAGTCCTGAACAATGAAAGTCTTTTTCTATTTCTGCCTGAAACATCTCTAAGTGTCAATACATTCACCTACATTCATCTAATACCTGCTATGTACCTTGTACTGTTTGACATTATAAATATAACAGTACTTAGGTATCAGATCCTGCCTTTAAAAACCTATTTGTCTAGACAGAGAAAATAAAAATTTTTTTCAACGATTTGAAAAATATCCAAATACATGCAAGATACTGAATTGAAAAGAAGGAAGGCCTTGCTTCACTGCTGTATCTAGGGGACAGGGTACCAGGCCAGGGTGCAGACCAGGTGGGAAAATGGAGGAAAGGAATACAGGTAGAGGGGACAGTTCGCACAAAAGCGATGTGCGGGAAGTGGCCCAGAGCAGCAGTGACTCAGACCAGTGCACCAGTTAAGGACCTCCAAGGTGAGAGCCAACAAGACTTGTAGACTATGCTAAAATTTTTAGAGTTTATTCAAAGAGGGTTCCAAAGAGATTTACACTAGGGAAATTGGTGTTATTTGAAAAAGATCATTAAGCAACATGGAAAATACAACAGGACAAGTAGAGCAAGTCAGCAAGCTTCATGGTTTTCACATTGTCTTCAAAATTAGTTCACTCTTACAATAACCGAGTGGAGTCTGCATTATTACCCCCACTTAATGTCAGAAACTAAATTTCAGCAACATGCAAAAACTTGCTCAAGGTCAGGTAAGAATGATGAAATAATGGGTGAAAAGGGCCCTTGAATCCAGTTCTTCTTATTCCTTTGACCCTCTCTAATCAACCTCTTGAAATTAAATTAAAGGGAAATCTTTGGTCACAACAGCCCCAAGCAGTAGTCAACTAGCCAAATTCTGACTGGAACAGGATGGTACATACATGAAAGGTAAAATAAAGTTCATCGGATAAACATTGATAAACTGTGCTTAGACCTGGCTGGCTGCTACTAGAGATGTTTTACCCTTCTTCGGTGGATGATCTGTTGATCAATAGTGGAAACTAACTGGTTGTAAATATTGTAAAACTCTGGTCTCCCCAGAATAGTTGGTAAGTGGGATGCTCTGGCTAATTTAACATTCTTATTATAAAGTAATATGTAATCTACATGTGATAGATGAATTGCCAAGTTTTCAAAATTAGAACAAAATAAAATTTAAATCATTAAATGATTATTCATTGTCTTCACTTTAATAACTAATGATAATTAACGTTTTCTAAAGCTTGCTATGGGACAGTAAGTTTTTTATATCTATTAACTCATTGCATTACACTTTACCTCAATCACTTGTTGGTAAACAAGACTTGTGATTGTAAGTCATGAAAAACAAATCTGATCGGGGTTTTTTTGGGTGGCGGGAGTATGCATCTGGAAAAAATTGTTTGACTTCTGGAAAAATGAAAGTTATTTTTCACCACACTAATTCATTGACTGGTTTTCTTCATAGCCTCCAGATAATGAGCAATTTAATCAGCAAACCATCTCCCTCTACTCTTTATTTCACAGAACCATCACTCTTTCATACTTGTCAGCTTTGCCCTTACGAGCCGACATTCCATTAAGAGACATAATTGAAAATCTAGCTTTCAGGTAAGTCTGAGGGTCTTCCTTCCCTCCCGATTTTCTCTATTTTTACCCCTGCCCCAGAGCAGCTATAAAACATTTTCTGTCCTTGTTAGTTACCATCTGCTTCCCCATCCTGAACTCTGAGATATTCTCCAGCGATCACTGTGATTCTCTACATAGCCTGAAGCCAAACAGATTCCTGATTTGTTGCTAAAACTGTCCATTTAGTTCACCTGACCATTCCTGAGAAAGCAGTGTCCTCTTCTCCATATTACTCTAGAATGGAGGTTCTGCACCGGATGCAGCCCCCTCAGCCACCAGGGAACATTTGGCAATACCAAATTTTCATTCTCACTATTGGTCAGGCAGAAGGTATTGGCAGTGAGTGGGTAGATTTCAGAGATGCTGCCAAGTATCTTGCAATGCACAAAACAGATGCCCACCAAAAAAAAAAAAAAAAAAGTGTCTAGTCCATAATGTCATTGGTTCAAGGTTGAGAATCCCCGATCTAGAATATGACCTCAGGCCAAGTGCCACAATCTTCCAGGTCTTACAAGAAGCAAAGGAACACGTAACTCTCCAAATATGCTGCCACAGCAGTTGGAGAGGACCCATTTTGGTGACGAACATAAAAGCATCTAAACAGAAATAGCCTCACAGTTGCTTTCATGGGTGATAATTAATTAACATAAGACTTCTCATTTAAAAGACTCTGCTACACCTGACAGCACAGCTTTGCTTGAATAAGGTGCCCGGCAGTGTTTGGAAAGAGCCTGCTACTATTTCCAATAGGTCATTGAAAATGTACTTACCAAGACAGGAATTACCTGCACTCTAAGGATTCTTTTAATTTAAAATGGCCCATGGTAAATTGATTTCTATTTCTAGGTGAGGGTTTCTCCATCTTGGCACTACTGATATTTGGGCCTGAAAATTCTTTGTTCGGGCGGGCGGCTGTCCTGTCTATAGTGGGACTTTGGCAGCATCTCTGGCCACAATTATCTCCCCACGTCCAGTTTGAAAAATGTCTCCAGACATTGCCAGATGTCCCCAAATACTGCCAAGTGTCTGCTGGGGCTAAAAATCACTCCCATGACCCAACTGACAACCACTATTCTAGAGCTTAATAAATAATTTTGAAAAAACAAAAGTCTCTAAGTTTTTCACAACAAAAACCTCTTTTTCCACATCTGGATTTTCATACATTAGGCTTGCTAGGTACAGATACATTTAATAACTAAGTCAACAAACTGTTTTATGTTTATAGTCTTAAAACAGGATTCTGATTCTACCTATAATCCTACTGTAGAAAACAAGATTCTATGCACCACATCTCTAATTCTTAACCACAAATGGAAATGGACAAACATTAACCTGTAACCAAGCACCACGAGTCTGCTTTACATAATAAATAACACAGTGGTATCTTTACATCAAATGGGTCCTCAAACTGCTTTGCTTATAGTTAAGCTTTTAGAAATGTCATTTACCCTGTGGAATGATGAAATTCAAAGTAAAGATAGCAGCTAACATTTACTCAATGTTTACTATGAATTCCATACTTACTAGTCCAATAGCAATGCACACCCACACTCATAAACAATTTTTAAAATCCATTTCAATGATATGACACTGTACCATAGGTGATATTTTATTCCCATTTCAATGTGAGGTAACTGAAGCACAGAGACGTTCAGTAACTTGCCCAAGGTCACACAGGTTGTCTGTGATAGAACTGGCATTTCAGCCAGTCTAACTCCAGAATCCATTTCTTACCCATCACACAGCACTGTTCCCCATGTAACAGCATGCCATGTCACACAACAGCAAACATATTTATTACAGGGGAATTTTACTTCAATTCTTTCCATGGCATGTGTCCTGCATCCTCAGTGACAACACTATTCTGGACCACATGTGGCTCAGGATACCTGCCGTGTATTTCCTTCCAGTTATAGTCACTGTATGACAAAGGCACAGCCCCTGTGGCCTGACCACATGGAGTGTAGACTTGGCTCCATCATTAGAGAAGTTCAGAGACCATCCAGTTCTTTTCTCCTCTGGGCACACAGCAGGTTTCACTGTTTTGTTTCCTGTAAATGGAATCATGGCTGAGTGACTTAGTTTGGACAACAAAATCTGAGCAGAAGTAAAACATGTCACTTCCAGGAGGAAATTTTAACACTTTTTTTTTTTTAATAGAGGGCATGTTTTTATTTATTTATTTATTATATTTGTTTGTTTGTTTTGTTTATACATGCACTGGGTACAGTCAGAAGCGGGGGAGGGTGAGAGAATTCACCAGAGCCAGAGTGGGGAGCAGAGCAGGCAGAAGGACTGAAGTACACTGCTGAGGGGAGCAGCGGGTGGCAGGAGAGGTCTGCGCACCATGTGGGATCCTCCTCCGGTGGCCGGGGAGCAGCCGGGGATCGAACCGGCGCCGCAGAGGCCGCGGGCAGCTTCGCAACCCAGCGCTCAACCGCTGCGCCACCGGGGAGGCCCGCAGGAGGAAATTTTAAAAGTCAGAGCTCACCTCACCAGCTCCCTTCCCAGGAGCATGTGTTGAGATGGAACCAAGTAACTACAATGAGGATCCGCCTGTGATGGCACAGTGGTCATGCATCACGAGTCAGAAATAAGTCTTTGTTGTATTAAGTCTCTCAAATTTGAGAACCACTGTTATTACTACCATGGTTTAACTTACCAGAATGATACAATTACTTACTGAGGCGTGACTTTAATTTTTATGTGTCTATTTTCTCATCTGTAAAATGGAAATAATTGTGACTACCTCATAGTGTTGCTGTGAGAATTAGATAATACACATAAAGCACCAGAACACTGCCTGGCACACAGTAAGAACCTACTACTGATCCTAGATACACTAGCACAAGGTAACTCATATTATCGCCGTGGCCACAGGTCTTTACAATATGAGGAACACTCATATAAACACATATATTGTTTCTTATTATTTGACTAATAAAATGCTAAATATGCAGACTCAAAAGCTCACCAAAAAATGAGGGATAAAAGCTGAATAACAAACCCCAGGAACTCCTCTGCTAAAAAATTATAAGAGAAATAAAAGAAGAAAACAGCAGAGAGATGATTGTATTTAACCAGCCCAACTTTTGCTTCAGTCTCATCCTCCGCCAGTAATACACATATAAACAAACAAATACACACACACTCTCTTCTCAATGAACAGATTTCATTTGCCAGCCAACTAGAAAGAGATTCATCAGAAGCAGCCAAAAATGTGGTGCCAACTGGCTGCGTGACATGCACAGTAATGTCTTCTAATGAACCAGCACCTGATGTCTGGGAGCCGAGAAGAGAATAAGCATAGAGCAAGGGAGTGGCTTATATGGAAAACTAGCCTGGAATGTTCCTAGACACAGGGAAGGTGATTCAGTTAGGAAGAGAGGCATGGTTAGCATCAAGAACATTTTACAAAGCCTCACAATCTACATGTACTTTTTAATTTATTTGCTGGAAAAAAGTAAACTGATTTTAAGAGGGAAATGACTGTATATGCCCATATGATGGCTGCCCATATCAACAACTAATGTATTGGTACTACAAATATGAGATGAAGTCTTTATTAGATATCATTTTTAAGATTTATTTATTTATTTATGCATACAAGAACTGGGGTGTAAGCCAGAGATGCAGGAGGTAAGAGGATTCACCAGAGAGAGTGGGTAGCAGAACAGGCAGATCTACTGAAATACACTGCTGAGGAGAGCAGCGGGCGAGACAGGAGAGGTCTGCTGCACCATGTGGGTAGCTCCCTGGTCGGCTGACGATCAAACTCATGCTGTAGTGGCTGGTGATAGCTTGATAGCGCTGTCTTTAATCCCTTTGCCAACAGGGAGGCCCTTATTAGATATCACTTTGATGAAAAAAACAGAGGAAGACTTTCTTAAAGATACATAGAACCCCATTAACGTATTGAAAAAATAAATATAGTGAGGGGCCTTGTAATAAAATATACATGTAGAATCTTTCTTTTCTGAGAACTTAAGAGCAAAACTCAAGTTTGACCAGATTGATATCAGAACAAGGATGAGCTGCAAGGATAATACAACCCCTGTATACACTTGGCCATCACTCCAGGTAACCTTCAAAAAAATGCTGCTCAAATATTGTAATTTTTTTCTATAGTGTGACAGATGAGGAATAAAAAAGAATACTGTGGCTGGAGCGTTTTGTTGTTGTTTTTTTAAAGGTGAGACTTGAGAATCTCTTCAAGCTTGTCCAGAATTGGGAGGCTGTCTAAATCCAATCTGCATGGGTAAAATTCATCTCAGCAGAGAGAAAGGGAGCCAGACAGGTGTCCTAAGCACAGAAAATTGTGGGGGACTCTGGTCTTGAGCAAATGCCATCTTCATCGCTAAGAAAAAGGCAGAATATTCAGCTTCCATGGAGATTCTGATGCCCTCCCAATGTAGCAATACCATGGCCCTAACGATTTCTAACACACAGTATTCTTACATATCTGTCCTAACAGACATGTGAGAGGTAGAGAACACTGAGAATCACGGACTAGTGTCTATCAGGGAGAAATGACTTTTCCAGGATCAGGCTTCACAGCAGAAAGGTCAAGCTCTGTGTTCCACTGAGGAGGAATGAGTCATTGCTTCCTTTATTCTGGCAAAACTCAGCCAACTACACTGCCAGGGTGTACTCCTCCACATCATCTAACTACTAAACTAAACTAATTACAGGCTCATTAGCTTAAGGAATATTCTCTGCCATTCTAAAAACATTTTGGCTGCCCTATTATATTGCTATAAAGAACCTTCTTATCATCATATCTTCCTTCTGTTCCCTCCTGCCTCACTTTTAATTCCATCTCCTGTCATTTCAGAAGTAGCATTTAAAACCTTCCTATCCTTCTTCCTATTGGATTTTTAGGTTATCTATTTAACTATTTTAGGCATAGAATTGACAGGTAAATAATTTCCAAGTGAATTTTTCTGGCTCACCCTTTTCCAGCTTCAACATACCATGCCAGGGGCCTCCCTGGTGGCCTGTCTCTCCCGCTGCTCCCCTCAACAGTGTTTTTCAATAGATCTGCCTGTTCTGCTCCCCATTCTCTCTCTGGTGAATCCTCTCATAACCTTTCCACCCATCTCTGGCCTACACCCTAGTTCTCCTACCAAAAAAAAAAGTAATTTTAAAAAAGGTAATATGCCAGTCTTTCATGCATACTCAAAAATGGTCTCATTACCTAGCACTGTCCTCGGTAAATTCTTGAACAATCAAATGTATTAAACATTTGGTTCATTCAAGTAATTTTTCATCAATCTTTTATTTTCTCTTCAATGCCTTTCAAACCATAGGTGGGTCATATTTTGACCAAGATTGTGCCACAGGAGATACAAACCCACCTACTTGTAAAAGAGAGGATATTTTTGTTACCACCTTATATCTCTATTAAATCAAGAAGGCTATAATACAGGCCAAGTGCACAAGCAACATACAGGAAAAGGCTGATGTTCAAGAAGTCAAGCAGAGAGAGAAATAATGAGAGGTTAATGAAGTGAGCTCTGAATCACAAGTGTTATTCAGAAAACAAACAGACATCTGTAAGGACTAACCTTGGAAAAAGTCACTGCTATTCAATGCGCGTGCATGCGTGCGTGCGTGCGTGTGTGTGTGTGTGTGTTTAAATAACAACTGCCAGACTTTTCTGAAGAAATTAGAAGACATACTAAAGGAATAAAATTTAACTATTCTAGTCTAAGCAATGAGCCCCTCATTTTCAGTCATTTTTATCTTAATGAATACATATTAGTTCAAGGAAATAGATTAACTACAACTAATTAACTGCATATTATAAACAAGAAGTATAATGAAAAACTTTGCTTTAAAAATAATTAGGACCTACAGTGAGAATTACAAAGCACCAATTCTCAAAGTGGACACTGGAACATCAAAGAGTAGTCTTAAGATGGCCAACTTTTGGAAAGTCAATTAAGAGTTCTCAGGAGGTTTATAGCAAACTCAACTTCACTTAATTATTTGAGGAAGTGGTTTGAGACATTGTATTCAACTGAGGACACTAACCTGCTTTACTTAGCACTGGGCACAAGCCCCTCATTCAGTACATTGATCCATGTGCTTATAGACCTTACACTATCCAACCAACCCCCTCATTTCAGGGGACCTTCTAGAAAGGAGTGAAGTCATCTTTTGAAAACATTTCCTAGAAGCTAAAAAATGTAAACCTATGTCATTGGCTACGTCTATGTCAAATGGACCTAAATTTAAACATTCAGATTAACACAGGAAATGCAGGCTCAATACTGTTTAGAAGAGTCTTGAATAGATTTCCTTCAGCAAATTCACCCTGTAACAGCAAGCCACTGAGCTGACCCCCAATTCAATATAGAATTGCTTGGTCTGATTTTATGGGGGTTAGCTTGCATTGTAAATCATCATCCACTAAAGAAAGCCTGGTTGTCCAGAGGGTTGGTAAGCATCTGAGCAAACAAGATGTGCTTTGGCACAGGCCCATTGGCAACACTGGCACAACTGAGCTCCACCTGGGCAGACATGGAGAAAGCCAGCACGTCTTGGAGTGGGGCCCAACTTCAGCTGCTCCAGAAAGGCACCTAAATCAAAAGAATGTACCCATCCTTCTAAAATGAGAACCCAAAGCACAGGCTGAAATACTGTTAAAATATCAGTTGGGCAACTTGACCCAAGGGAGTGCCTACTGAAATACATACTGCAGTTCTAGGGACACAGGAGCCAGCTGCCTCTTACTGATGTTGGCAGAGTCAATGTAGGCTCCTCGCGCCATTCTGGCCCATGTCCCTAAGTCTGTCAATCAGGTAGTCAAAGAGCAGAAAGTATCATCCAAAACCGTTTTTAAAAAGTATGAGATAAAGTTTCAGGTCATTTGAATTTCAGGTCAGTCATTTATATTTTTTAATAAAATCTCGAGATTACATATCTGAACATTAATGTTTCTGTGCCAAAAAATATTATAAACAAGAACCTTTGGTGGGGAGGCAGAGATTGGATTCTTAATCAAATCTTTCTATTTCAATTAGAACATTTTCTTTTTAACAGAGGAGTAAAAATTATAAACCTGAATGACTTTCTGTCACTGTCCCCAAAGGGAAAATAATGTATCTAAATGCATTCCAGTCACTATGATGATGTGTGATTTAATCACAAACATAAAAACTGCTTTCCATAACAACTTTTCTTCCCACACAGATACCTCACTTGGGTAGAGGCCCCAGTTTTAGGCATCTAAATAATTCTTTTCTACCCAGAATCATATTTAAGATAGAATAATACTCTCAGAATTAAAACCAGAGAAAAGATATGAAACATTAAGTTCCTATGTATTAATAGGTAAGATTTGAAAGTGTGTTCCATCACACGTTTGAAAGTGTGTTCCATCACACGTTGCTGTATGCAAGAACTTGTTCAGAATACAGATTCCTGTATCCAGGCCCCAGGAAACTGTAATCAGGGGGTCTGGGGTAGGGACAGAGACCTGCATTTTTAATAAGCACCCCAGGGTTCCTGATACAGGTGGTCTTGGAAAACAGCACTGCAGGGAAGAGAATTCATTCCTCTTGCAGCTATTTCTGCCTCCAGGCTCCTTCTCCCAACTCCATTTTTCATTTGACACTTTTTAAACAATCCCTAGTTAGATTAGTGTTTTTCAAGGAAAAATCTTTGAAAAGCAAGCACAAAATAACAACAACCAAAAAGGAAAGGCAGGGCAGCGTGTGTGGAAGCTGCCAAACTCTATATATCAACATTATACATAGGGCAGGACAGAATCACCATCATTCTAGGCTAATTCTCTCATTTTAATCTTAACACAATATTTTAAGCACTCCCCTGACTATTAATTTTGTTATCTGCATTCTCCAGTTACCTCATTCAAGCTACAAAATGAGATGACGCCTGAAATTTAAATCAGTCTCAATAGTCTCTTGCACTGGGTTTTCAATAGGTCTTGCTTCCCTTTACTGCATCTCCCTATTTGAATTCTTTAGAGTTAGAATTCTTTATCTTGTCGCTTTATTTCATTATTTTCCAAAAGATGACTTAGAACCTTCTGGAAGTTCCCACCCAACCAAAAATGTGATTGGTTGCACTACCTACAGTAAACTTATATTTTTAAATCACAAATTCAGATTTTCACTTAAATAACTACAGACATGGCAAGCTACCCGGGAGTTGCCAAAGTCAATATGTTAAGTCTGTCTCTAGGGCAACAGACTAAAGAGTAGTAAATGAGGTTTTGAACTGCATTCCTGCTCACTTCTGATTTAGCAACAGGCCTCTACATGTTCCCATTGTGCTCTGGCCATCCCTTTGTCTGATCTGGAAATCACATGGAGTGACTTGGGTTGTTATTCTGTTCTTTTAGGACACTCCACTTCAATTTTTCTGCCTGTGTCCACACATAATATTTTTGGCTAATTTTCACTATCAGTTGCCCCATACAAACACAGACCTACACACACCTCACCACCATTTAAACATTTTTCCATGTGAATTGAGGACTGTAAGTATTCAGTGCCTTAATTAGAAATCTGCAAACCCCTCCACAATGAACCAGTGCTGATTCAGTAAGTACTTCCTGCTGCTTTTGTAAAAGCTCTTCTCAGGTTTTTGTGGTTTGTTTTTTTTTTAAGCCACTACACAGATGATCTCTTTCCACCCAGTTCTAGAGTTTCACAATACATCTTTTTGGAAACTCAAGAATATACTATACTGCCAATGCCAGAATGTCAATCAATCTAAATTATCCTAGACCCTAAGTTAATAATTCAGATTCATCTAACTATAATCAGCATTACTTGAAGGGTAAAGACACACAAAATCTAGTGTCCTAACTAAACAAAATATATGTGGGAATATTTAAGATATAATGACATGAAGGATGCTGAAAAACATAATACATAGTGATGACTTTTTTTTCACCTGCACATATTTACACCAAGAAACAATGACACAACCCCACAGAGCTAAGCTTTTTCAAACTTTTCAGTTGTTTGCATCATCTGTTAATTCCTTTACTATGTTTAAATTATCTTGTATGATTATTTAACATTTTATGAATAGGAAACAAAAATCAAAGAAACTGAAATTGTAACCAATCAGATCACCCAATTCTCAGTCAAATCATTCAATTCTTAGCATAAGTCATATAAAATGCAGGTTGTATATTTACACAGATTACCTGACACAGAGAGGCAAACACACTAAACATTCCATTACAGGAACTGCATGACTGGCATCAAACATCTGCTAAAACAACACTTGGATCTTTTGCTATATCACAAACCAAATTCCTAAATTGGTATATATTTTCAAAGAATTTGCTTATGCTTACCATAGTAAGAGTGGTTTATTTCAAACACTAAAGGAAGAATTAATTTCTCAAAACCAACTTCTCTCTCCCAATGTTGATAGGGTAAACATCAAGGAAGGGAGTAAAATGGAAATGGCCCCTCTGAACAAATCTAATTTATTTTTGTCCATGAATGAATGTGGACAGAAAAGGCCCTGATGATATGCACACTCACAAAGTACAAGTCATATTTACCAATCATCTACATCTTCATATGTCTGTATTTCAAATCTCTATCCTCGCTCGGTTATCATTCATTGCAATCCACTATATTTGGATAATCATGGACGAAGTAAGCTTGTGTTCTTATACCAGAATTAGCAAAAGCAGTCCAAGAAACAAAACTCTAACTAGCCTAATAGCACCAGCTATCAATGCTCAAGATCCATTTTTGACTACCTGGAGAAAAACCACATTAATCCAGTCATAAATATAGCAATGATGGTCAACTCAGTTTCCGCTGCAAGTAGTCAGAAATACAGCAAATGCAGCTGAAAGAAAAAGCAAAATCACCATGGTAGGTCGGTAATAAAGAATATAGTCTTGAACTGCAGGATATCCTATAAAATGAAAATGTAATTTATAAATCATGTTTAATGCTACCAGAAACCAAAAGTAGAGCAATAGGGAGTATTTGTACCAGACCACCTTCAATAGATTCTTCCAATAAAACTGAATCTACTAAAGAGAAATGTAGTTACATTACTTTTTAATGAAAGGCAGGGAAAACATCTCTGGTCATTTACCTATACAAATATCAATTTCTTAAGTTAAAAAGAAAAAGTTTTGTCAGGGATATCACATCTATTTTAAGTTGTAGCAACTGAAAGACCAAATGAGTATAAAACTACTTCAGAAGCCGAGATGACACTTTCACCTGACTCTCTTAACTTGCCAGAAACTGAGTCTTTCATGTTAATGATAAGCTAGTGATAAGTTTAATTGTGAAATTCAAATTATTTCATAATGTGTAGAATAAGATTTAGCTATAGTTTACTCCAAACTGGAAGATGAGAAAGTTATTTCATATAAAGAGCTCAGCTTTCCACAAATAAGATTAAAAAGGAGGGTGGGGTTAGCTAGAAAACATACATTTCCCCCAGCAAATCTTAATCTTCCTCTCTAGGTCTGCTGCAGACGGAGGTATCATCATTGAAGGAGGAAACTCTGGGCTAGGGAGATGAGCTGCCCTGCCTCATCTGCATCTGTCACTCAGTTCTGCTCCACAGACACTGAAGAGGTCATGCTTAATGGCCAAAAAATTCACTAGGTGCCTAAAGGAGAAAGTAGAAAAAGATAGGCCTCAGGGTGTGATTATCTATTTAAGCATGCAACTGTATTTTAAACATAATTAGACTAATTGCCTCCCAATCTCAGCTGATGCATCTGCACACACAATTAATTAGAACTGATTTTTTAAAGCCCTGTTTGCAATTCTTTGTCCCCCACTTCTACAAATCAAATTACCAAGGAACAAATTTAATTTTTTAACTTTTATTTTAAGAGAGACACAAACTTACATTAACTGGATCTGATCCATTAATGCAAGTATTTTAACTAGCAATTATTTTACTCAAACTAAAAGCCAGTTCGAATTTTTTCATCTATAAAATAATCCCACAGTAAATGACAATCTAGCAAGACTGTTATAGAAAAACATAAATCATCTAACATATTTTCATCTAAAAATAGGAGACAGATTTCTGTTTTGCAGCAAATTAGAGATGTATACTATATTAAAGCCACCTTTTACCATGAGTATTATATGCCACTGGTTTTCCTACTATAAATTAAATGTAGTTGAGGAATAAGAAAAAGATATGGAGGGCCCTTTAGAGAGAAAGACATGATGTGCTGGGAAAAGGTGATGACTGAAGACAGAAGCTCAGATTCTGAAACCAGAGATGAAGCAGAAGCAGGTAACAGGGAGAGATAAGAAGACACTAACAAAAAGTGAAGGGGGGCGGGGAGGCAAGAGAAAATGCATGCCTGATGGTATTGGACAGGGATTATAGCAGGTGAATAGCAGAGGCAGTCAAACTAGCTCTGCCATCCTGTGGATAAATATTTGCAGAGTGAATGAGTGATGGACAGCATCCACAGCAGCATTAGGGGGTGTGTGCTGAATCCAGGGAGCACATGATAAATAAGGGGAGCCACATCTGCAGACGGAAACTATGTGAGCAAGTCTGACGGTGGGAGTGAGAGCCAGAGAATGCAAAGTCAGACAGGCAGACCCAAGATCTCTAGCATCTGACCTTGAGTTCAGAAGGAAGGTGGGAATCAGATCTGGGGAAGAAGATTGTGTCACTTGACAAATCATGGCAATCCAGATGTTGGGGAGGGGCACAGAGTTGGGTTAGGGGTCAAAGAGAACACTACTCTCCTGAAGACAACAAAGGAGTTTCTGAGCTTGGAAGTGGAGTATGAGGGGGGCATCATGATATTCCAGACTTGAGGAACCCCCACCTGTGCTCTCTCACCTGGACAGTTCTGCTGCTCAGCTGGCAGATGTCTGTGGCTATCCATATGCAGGCACCAAGAGTCCTCCAGCTTGCACTGCACTGCCTCCTTCCAGAGACCTTGTGACACTGCCCCAAATCGGTTTTGGTGACTCGCCATTAGAGGCAGAAGAGACAGCCTCTCTGGGCAAGCTGACCAAGTATGTGGTAAGGCCCAGAATCACTTGTTAGTGAAAAAACAAAATACAAATAAGGCCATTGCCCTATCAGAGGTACACTGGGCAACAACGAGAAAATAAATTTTGAGCAAGCCAAGACTCCCAGAGTCAACAAGCTGAAGAAAATATGCAGATTTATATTGGTGAGCACATGACTGCAGTCATATTTACGAGTCCACGCGGGCATACTAAGTGGACTGTACATGAAGGCTTCTAACCGGATTAGATTAGGAAAAGGAAATTCATTTCTGACATTAATCAACAAACTCAGGACACTCCCCAGAATCCATCACAATTTGGTTGTAATATTTTGCAAAGAACAGAAAGGATATCTGAAGGTTAATTTGAATCCACACAACATCAGATGAGGAAATGTGCTCCAGTCACGACACAGCCAAGATTAATAGGTGTTTCCACCCACTTCTTAAACAGTTTTAGGTACAGAAAACAATGTTACTTCCCTTCCCAAGAATATGTTAAGCATAGGAATTGGCAGAAATAGATGAAAAAGACAGTGTTCCTTTCCATACACTCATTATCTGGTGTTCTGGGGAGCTTTAACAATTTAGTGCTGCCCTATCACAACGCTATCGGTTAGAAAGGGTGTGGATCCATTTCCGTGAGCTAAAAACAGAGATACTTGCTATCGTTTGAAATCATGTTGCTCATCTCTTAGGGGGGAAAAAAAAACTCTTGGCAAGATTATTTTTTAAGTCATTCCACATTTATCTCTGTAAAACAAAACAATACAAAATGAATCACCAAATAAGCAAATATGACACTTTAATTTACTCGCCTATAAAATTGCTCAGCTCCAGCGTAAACATCTGAATGACTAACAATCATGTTCCTATTTGCCTCATTTTTTTCAACATGAGGTGTGCAGAGTAACCAACACGCATCAAATGAAAATGATTCACTCATTTGTTAACTTAGCAAATTCTTACCAAGGGCCTATTATGTTCAAAGTAGTGTTCTAACTGTGGGGGAAATAGACAAGAATAAATTTAAAGTCCTGGCCCTCAAAGAACTAACTTACTATCTATTGGGGGGGGGGGGTGGAAGAGATAACAAAGAAATATATAATTTTAAACAAGCACAAGTGCTACAAGGAAAAATAAAACATGGCAAGACTAGAAGATGAACAGGAGTAGAGTGAGGGGATTTTTGGAATTGGAGGTCAGAGAAGATTCTTCTAAGAAAGTCATTTTTTTTTTAAGATTTATTTATTTATGCATACAAGAGCCAGGGTACAGGCCAGAGGTGCAGGGGGGTGAGAGGATTCACCAGAGACAGAGTGGGGAACAGAACAGGCAGACAGACTGAAATACACTGCTGAGGGGAGCAGCAGGCAAGTCAGGAAAGGTCTGCTGCACCATGTGGGTAGCTCCGTGGCCGGGGATTGAACACTTGCTGCAGAGGCTGTGGACAGCTTCACAGGCTGTGTCTCAACCCCTTATGCCACCAGGGAAGCCCAAGAAAGTCCTATTTGACACAGGATCAGACTGAAGGAAGGATCAAGCCATATTGTGATCAGGCAAAAGCAGACCTGCCTCCTCCCTTCCAGGCAGGGTAAAGAGCAGGTGCCAAAGGCCCCATCTCAGTGCTTTGATGAATATCAAGGAACTTGCATGGCTGGAGGAAAATATATAGGCTACAAAGATGAGCTAGAGAGAAAGGGCCATCTCAGGTAGACTGCTTAAGTCTAATGGGCCATTTTACGGTTTTGAGAAAGTGTCACGTCAGACTGACTGGGATGCAGAATGACGACTCGAGGAGACACGGATGGAACAGGAGGCTGAGTGAGGAACTTTTCATAGTGAGAGCTCAGTCTGATACTCTGCATGCTTTCACTCTTTATATTTTGTGTGGAGTTGGGAGCAACTTATTTAATTCTATCTAAGGAAAGATGTTTCTACGTAGACTCAATAATGCACACTCCTCTCAATGACTTTATTAGTTTGAATAATTGGAAACTGTTGTTTCAAGTAATCTCAGGCGAGCAGCCTCAAAACTCAGGCACAAAACAAGATGACCGCCCTCCCCTCTTTTATTATAACTACATGAAAGTCATGTAGTTGTGAATAGTTCTTTTGTCCTTAAACAGGCTATTTGAAAAACAGAAGCATAGAGTCTTTTATTGTCAATTCATAGTTCACAAAGCCTCTGAAGTTCGCTTTTGTCCTTCAAAAGCTTTTAATGGACAGGTATATTTAAGCCTTATTTTAGGCACTGTGAGAAACAGAATGCACTGGGAGCAGTTTATATCACCCTTTTATGAAAGAAAAAAAGATATCAGCAATGCAGAGTGACCTCACCTATAAGGAATGCATCGGTGACAGGGAACAACGGTGGCTTCCTTCATAAGGAAACACAATGTTTCAGAAAAATGCTTCATTACTTTTGAATGATTTAGGGCTGCCCAGTCTACTAGAAACAGTTCCAGTCTTCAATCTCTATTTGTTTTATTAACAGAGCTGTTTGTGACAGCATTCTTTGTTCAAATGTTAAGGAAAAGCCTCGCATATTCATTAATCAAAACTACATATTGTTTAGGTCACCTTTGATCTTACCTGTTTGTGCCAAGTAAGCGTATTTATCAGTTGGAGGCTGTAAATGATAGATTGTGTATCTACAGGAGTAAGGACTCTGCATGCTCTCCAGAGACTCAACCATGTGAGATGTGGAAGGTAAAGTCAACCCAATGTTTCAGGTTGCCTTTAGTATATAAGGGGAAACCCTACATTTTCACAATTGAGAGATTGTTGAGTTTGCCGTTTTATGAAATTTATCAGTTTTCTTTTTCAAACAGTGATTATCAATGCAAACCAAGTTATTTGAGAATAGAATGAATTCATTCATGGTTTACCTAGATGCAGAGTTGCTGAAATACTACAGAAAGCCCTCACTAACATCATGGATACTGTGACTTTACATGAAATGCCATAAAATGAAAACAAGCATACCATAAACTAGTAGATATTAAATAAGAATTTTCTACAGCATATTTTTGGTCACAAAAAAAATCATCAACTTGTAAATAAAACCCTAAACAACAGGGCCTCCCTGAAAAGCAGGGGGTTAAGACTCAGCACTATGAAGCTGTCCACAGCCTCTGCAGCATGAATTCAATCGCTGACCAGGGAGCTACCCACATGGCACAGCAGACCTCTCCTGTCTCACCCGCTGCTCCCCTCAGCAGTGTATTTCAGTCGATCTGCCTGTTCTACTCCCCACTCTGTCTCTGGTAAATCCTCTTAGCCCCCGCACCTCTGGCCTGTACTCCAGTCCTTGTGCATAAATAAATAAATCTTTGTAAAAAATAAAACCCAAACAACCATATGTATCCCTTTGTTCATTCATTCATTTTCCAACCTGCTTATTCCAGTTCAGGGTCTCAAGTGGCCAAAGTCTATGCCAGGGCACAGTCAGAATCCAAGGTGGACAAGACACCCTTCCATTGCAGGGTACATCACACACACACACACACACACACGCACGCACATACACTGAGACCACTGAAACATGCCAATGAACCTAATAACCTAATGTGCACATCTTTGGGGTGTGAGAGGAAGCCAGAGTATCTGAAGAAAACCCACAGAGCCATGGGGAGAAAATGCAAACTCCACACAAATTCCATACAAAAACGTGGCCCCGGGTCTAGATCTTTTTCATCAATGTTGAATAAAACAACATTACTTGAGGATCTGCAATACTTCGTTCTTTTGATATCACAAAACATCCCGCTAAATATTTTCCTCTCAGGTCAGGTAGTTAAGAATTTAATTTCTTAAGTCAGAGACATGTTACTCCATATAATCAGTGCTTAAAATAATTTCATGACCATTAAAAAGTGTTACATTTTCAAACTAAAGTTGCTACTGTTTTCATTCTAAAGCTACTGATAGTTACCCCCAACTTTGCAGGTGTATCATCCAGTAGATGACTGTCAATAATCAGCCACTCTGCAGAGCACTTGTCAGAAAACATTCAGTGATAAAAATTGATATTAAGTATCAAATTGGAAATCTATTGACTTCAATGTATCTTTAACCCACCCATTCTATTCTTTGGCTTAATAGCCCAGGGTCAGGGAACAATGTCAAGATCGTGAACATTTAGTCCAGGCACAGAGAAGTGTGTACTGAATGACTAAATATGTGCATGAGTAAGACACAACCTCTTTTTTCATGTATTTTAATTTTAACATACATCACTGAACATAAAGCAAGTTAAATAAATCCCCAACCAGTCAACAATCCCCAGCTACAGGAGGGGTGGGTGGATTGTAGCATAGCTGCAGTTAAAAATAAGACATTAGTTAATGACGGGTACCCTCTGCCCAGATACTGACCTGATATTACTAAATTGGAAAGACAAAAAAACTCACCCAGTGGGGGCTGAGAAATTTACATATCAGGGTAATGTGAAAAATAACTTGCCTCTCAGTGCAGGAAATAAAGAAAGCTGGAATCACAAAGAAGAAACTTAAACCTAGGAACACACGTGAATTTACATAATAAATATTCACGTAACATTCCCACTCCATCCACACAAAGCTCCTCATTCACTGCATACCTGGAAAGCAGAGTGAGACACATTTCTAGAGTTACCAAGTCTTCCTAACATGTTGCTCCTCAAGATAGGTCACTCCTTTTCATCTATAATGAAATGTTAGGTAGATCTAGTGTTACTTATTTGTAGTGATCACATAAGTTTAGTTTCCTACTAATAACTCAAGGTATTTCTATGCATTATAGTTAAATATTTGCTACATTAACAATCACACAGATTCAGCCTTGCCGGTATCTAGAGATCCTGGGGGTCTTGTCATGTTTCATGTCATAGCTGGCTGGCTTATGATTCGAGAGTTGGAAAGAGTCCCTCGGGGCTAATTTATTCTGCTAACTGCCCTTTTCTTCCCCCTTTCCGCTTCATTCTCAAGAATTTTAATTTAATTTTAAATGGGTATGTTGCCTCTCGTGGGATTTCCAATGTGGAGGCACTGTTGCTAACCACCTCATGACCTGTGCTTCTAACATCCCCAGGATTACCTACCACAGGAATGACTTAATATATCATAATCTGCATCAAAACAGAGGCCTGCATCACACATAACATTTTCATTACAAAAAGAGATTTGCAAGCCGAGAAATCACAAGGTGTTTGATAACGATCAACATTACTGCCAGATACCTAATTCCTATTAGATCTTTCTCATTTTCCTCTGTCAGAATGATGATGTGCCTGGGAGGAAGTGGACTGCTGATCGCAGAGTTTAACTTTTATATGGCTTTTGATTCAAATCAACAGAACATTCTTTCTAATAAACTAGGAAAATAGGATTTCTAGCCCACCATAGTAAGTGCAACAGAAATGCTCTAGGGCCAACCTCAAGAGAACTGTTATTCAGGATCTAGTTACAGCCCAAGTTTCACAAGGTTTTTACCCAGTCTTTGGGTAAATGTTCATGGCAGACTGAAATAATGGAGAAATGAATGAGACTGAATGCACCAAAAACATACACAGTTAGGCACTCTCTCTTGTGAAGATGTGAATGTGTCCACACAGACCTTTCCAGGCTGTGAGCAATCTATCAATTCCATCAGGAAGTTATTCACTGAACTGAACTCCTACTACTCTTTCAATAGTAAAGAACAGGAAAGAGGGATAAAACAGAATTTCTGCTCTCCAATGACAACTTGGCACAGGAGACAATCAACAAGAGAACAATCAACTCGCAAATGGGGACAGAGGATACCGAAATTAAATATAGTGAACAAGTTATATTTATTTCTAAAACATAGGTCTATATAGTTATAAATATCTATTGAAGTAGTAACATTTTAAGGAGGAGTGCATAAAAGATAAAGTGAGTCAACCTCAGGGCAGGTGGATGGAAAATAGACTTTTTTCTCTGCTTGCAAATCTCCTTTTGTATAATGCTGCACACCTGAAACTTATGCAGTGTTATAAAACCAACATTATCTCAATAAAATTAAAATAATAAAAATAAATAGCATTTTGGAATGACCTTTTTTTTTAGTCCCTGCTGATGGTTGCAAATTGCTGAGACTACCATAAGGATTGTGGAGACAACAGGAGGCAGTTTAATTAAGAAGGCAGTAAAAGCTAACCAATAAGAGATGGGAGAAAACCAAACAGTGAAAGAGACAACCTAAGGGCCTCAGTAAAGTGTGAATCAGCAAGGTAATGAGTTAGTTTTAAAGGTACATAACATCAGGATGTAAAAACAAGCAGTGAGCTCAGGGTCAGGTGATAGCACTTCCACAGCACTGGGTCCTATTCGGAACTTTATTACCAGGCAAGGAGCTATTCTGGACCGAAACCCAAGCAAGATGAGCAGAAGCTGGAGAGCATCCAAAGGAAAGTGACTGAAATGATTAAAATGTTAGGAAATGGATCCTAAGAGGCCGTGTAAGGGAAACAGAGTTATTTGGGCCAGATAAAAGATGGTGAGGGAGGAGGTGGGGCAGACATTGCCTGCAAGGTTAGGAAGGAGCTGCTACAAGGAAGCATTTCTTTCCCATTAAGGACAGGATGAGAGGAATGTGATTAAATTGCAATGACAGGGGTTTGCATTTGATACAAAAAAGAACTTCCTGGCTATGAAGACTGCAAGGCACCAGAGTAAGTTACATACAAGCTTTTGAAAGATCCTTGTAAGAGACTTTTCTAAAATAAAGTAGATGATCATCTTCATAAAATGTTCACTCAGTCCTTTCTTACCCTACAAAACCAGGAAGTGAGTATTTTAGCTATAAATAGAAGCTCCATTTAGAAAAAACATAAACTTACTGAAAGTTGAAACACAGCAAGGCTCTTTACTACTGCTGCAGTTCCAAAATTAATTAGAAAGTTATGAGTTATATAAATGCATTTATTTGGCCAGAAATGCACTAGTCACCAAAAAAAAAAAAAAAAAAAAGCAATCAGTTGCTCTAGATAAAGAGATAAAAAGATAACCAAAACATGGTTAAACTGACTTGAATATGTATTTAAGCAATATACTCTTTTTTTTTTTTTAAAGAGGCACGTATTTTTTATTTATTTATTTGTTTGTTTGTTTATACATGCACTGGTACAGTCAGAAGCGCGGGAGGGTGAGAGAATTCACCAGAGCCAGAGCGGGGAGCAGAGCAGGCAGAAGGACCGAAGTACACTGCTGAGGGGAGCAGCGGGCGGCAGGAGAGGTCTGCGCGCCATGTGGGACCCTCCTCTGGTGGCCAGGGAGCAGCTGGGGATCGAACCGGCGCCGCAGAGGCCGCAGGGAGCTTCACAACCCAGCGCTCAACCGCTGCGCCACCGGGGAGGCCCTTAAGCAATATACTCTTGATGCTATGGAAGAAGGAGTAGGAGTAATAAAAATCAGCCACAAAGGAATAAACACTATGCAGGCACACATACATGCACACCTATGAGGACACAATAATCTTTCCTAATACCAAATTTTTAAAAAATTAGAACTGCATCACAAAGCACATCTAGTTTTTCTTATAGCAGTCTTACAGTCTGTTTTTCAATACTATGCCAGATAAAAAAGTCAAAAGATAAAGTATTTTAAATTATTTGAGTTATTCCCCATATAATCAAGACAGGAAGGAAGACAAGAAGCAGCAGGGGAGAGAGGGAAGGTGGGATAGACAAGCAATGAAAACAGTCAGAGATGGTCTAACACAATGCAAGTGGCCACGACTCTTATCCTAGGAGCAGGTAACAGGAAGAGGCACAAGAGATAAGGCTACTCAGCTTTTCCTTTCACAGATGAGGCCCACAGAGCCAGTGTCACACTCCAGTTAGAGGTAGAACCAGGACTATGCACGTAGCATCTTTTGTAGTCACTAACCTATGAACAGTTTGTACAACTAAAGTTCAAATTGGCAGTTAAAAACAGAAGGAAATGTGCTGTAACACTATTATAATGTTGATTAAGTTACCATAACACACACACACACACACACACACACACACAGAGGCAACATACAAATAGGTTAATTTACAATGTAACCCGTATATGCTACTAAAAGCTCCAATTTCTGCAAAGGCAGCAGCATTTACTGAGTGTCTACTAAATCCTGACAGTGAGATGCCTCATCTCTGTAAATCTCAGAACTTTGGAACACAGATCACCATCACTCTACAAAGGAAGAAAGGAGGCCAGGAAGCAACAAACTTAAGAGTCCCACGGATAACAAGGAATAGAGGAAGGCCCGCTGGATGCTAAATCCCCTGCCTTTTCAACTACATCACATTTTCTCTCCAGCAGAAACCACACAGTGCAGAGAAAGGAGCATTCAGGGGAAGAAATCAATACCCTGCATTTCCCCTGAAATTTGTGAAAGAGCTTCTATATTCTTTGGCATCTTCTCCACACTTGATGGAACCTTCTTCTAGATCCTGGGCTCACTCACACTGCCCTCAGTGAGGGTGACCATATGGCCCTGTTTGCCCCAGACAGTCCGGGTTTACCCCTGATGATTCTGCACAGACAACAAGAGCATCCCTTTCCACTGCCAAAAGTGTCCCAGTACAAAAGATAAATTACATGGTCACCCACATATGCTCTCACTGCACACCCCCCATCCAGGCTTGTCTGATCCCAGAAAAGCCCATCGGCATAAACATCAAGTCCATCAGAATAGGTAGCAAGTCCGCAAAAATGGGGAAAGCCATAGGGTTTGATGAATTCATACCCATCCAAAGAGCAGAACATTCAGTATGTGAACATTCAAACTAACTGTTGGAATTTCAGGCAGCCTGACAACTTCACAGGACAATGACATTTAGGCAGCACAAAGACAGGTAATCCCAGGCAGAGGAGCCCCATCCAGCCATGCAGCCCTGCTTGGAGCTTGCCCTCCGTCAGGCTCCCAGGTTGTCCTGCTTTTTCTGCCCTGCCCCACTGCCAAATGCCCAGATTATCCAGCAGTTCATCCTAAGGTTCCCACGGCAGGTACCACAGTGTGGGCTTCTGAGGGGACTGCAGAGATAGACCATGGGAGTGCCAGGGTGGCGGTGAGGGGCACATTTCATCTCACTGCACCAAGGCGCTATCCAAACACCAAACTCAGTTTGTCCTAAATTTTCAATATTGGAGTTGACCTTTGCCACAGTAAATTATGTCAAAGACGTCAGGTTGCAAAGGAACTCTGATATCAGACAAGCCCTCATTTCTTAAAAGAGCAAACTACGGCACGTGGCATTAAATCACAACGTTAGGACTAGCAACCAGGTCTCCATCATTCTTTCCACTGCGGGTTATAGGAAGGTTGTTGTCAAGCCTCCATCTACCTTTATGCCTCATACCTGGGACTCGATACTTTTCTGGTGCCAGAGTTGGACTTTCTTGGAACAGTTAATACATAACATTTTACTTGTTACACAGTGATGCCTGTTTTCAACACTTCAGTTTCAGCAACTGCACTGTTGTACATCAGAATTGAGGCTTCCAATAATTCCAATAGCCTGGACTTGTTTTATAAAAATGAGTGGAAAATAGAAAAATGAATAGCATTATGTGCTATGAAATATATAATAATGAATGAAAACATTTAGGTCTACCAAAAGGACCAGAAGTCTTAGCTTTATAGACTTAAGCTTTTATTTTGTTTTGTTTATTTTTGAGTTCAACTATATGTGA